TTTGTATTAGTTCTGTGTTTAAATCTTCCTTCCTGTGGTGGTGGAGGAGTACAGATGACCTCTGCTGTCTTGAATACTAAGAAGGAAGCGGCAGTTCCGTCCCCAGTAGTCAGTATGATTGCTTTTTGGTCTGTGCACCACAGCTGGGAGTTCACAAGGCTGACTGTACGGTGCTGACACTGCGGAGAGGTGCATCAGCTCCACGGGTTAACTGAAGCAAGCTAAGTGATGAGCAGAAGTTCTCTTCTGCACGGCTGACTGAAATGCTTTTTAGGGCTGAAGATATCTGTGACCTAGTTCTGCTTGGGAAGGATTTACATATGGAAAGGTCCCATAATTTGAGCACAATTACTGTATGTTAGAGCACCCACTCTACAAGCTGCTTTTGTGGACTCTTGAAAAACTATTCAAGCAGCTACTGCTTTTAAGCAAAAGAACTCAAAGATCCAGAATCAGTACAGTGGTACAGCCCCAGGTACTGTTTTGGTGAACAAAAGTAGGGTTTGTGGTTTGGTTTTTTTTTTGTTTGTTTTGATTTTTTTGTTTCCTGGAGGTTAGCAAATGTGTCTTGTTTGATTAGAGCTTGCAGGTAATTTGCTGTGGTTTAGGTGAGAACTGTATGTGCTGCAGTGTCCCACAGCTGTGGGCAGTTTGGAACCAGGGGATGTGGTAATGGCAGTCATTCAGTGAATACATGCAGAATCACAAAGTAAGAACTATCATAGTCTTGTCCCTGAACTCTCAAGTAGCAAAATAGGAATCAAAGTGCTCTTTTCTTCATTCCCATGGACAGTGAGGTTTTGGGGGTTTCCTTCTGCTGGCTAAATGGTTTCTGCAGATAGAGAATTCTAAAATGGTTTGTGATACAATGCAATTGAAAATTCCTGCGTATGCCCTGGCAGTGCCTCAGAGCCAGTCAATGAAGCTCAACAGAATTGAACTGCTGTTCAGAACAGTTACTTAACAGCCTAATTCTCCCTGCCCCCCCATCCCCTTTAGGTGGTAATGCTTGCCAATTTGAGAATTGTAAACCAACTAGCTCATAATTAAATTGGTGGAGTAACCTAGGTGAAGCAGCTCAGCCGTGAGACCCCTGTGACAGGTGGCTCAACCTGAAAGGCCAACAAGGAGTCCTGATAGTTTTAATGCCTGTTTCAGCAGTGCTGTCCTTCCTTACCCTCTTCTCTCCCCAGTTTATCACTGAGAAGCTGCTTTTTCCTGAGACCTGGAATCCTTAATTACGAGATCCCTCCTCACAGCACCTCCATCTGTGATCGGTGGTTGTCCTGGTTACCGTCTGGACTCTTGGTTTTAAACACAGTGGGATTCTGTTCCGATTCCTCATCTTCTCAAGGGATGTGTAATGTGCAGTTCTGCCATGATGCGAGTGTCTGGCTGTCAGTCGGAATGCATTCATGCAATAGTAGTGATGTGAAGCCAGCAGGAAACACTTGGCTGACCAATACATTGCATGAAGTGGAAAGCTGCAGTTACTTTCACTAATAGAGACAAGCTGTTCCACAATGCATCACATACCACTATATGAAAAGTGTGACCCTCCATAAGGACAGACTTCTAAACATCAAGGAGTATGGTTAGGTATGTGGTATGTTAAAAAAAAAAAAACAAAAGAAAAAACCCAAGCAAAACAAACACAACAAAAAAAAACCCTCAACCCAACCAACCAAAATAACCCCCCCAGCACTGTATGGGAGGGATAGTCTCATTTGCAGCTGTAAGATATGGAGCTTAGATGCCTGTCAGTTACTGGATATGTAATCTGGTATACTAATGTGACTCACAAGATGATCTCATCAAGTCACTTTATTTGTTTGCTTGTAAGGAAATTATGCCTAAATCTGCAGTGATGGAACCAGGTCAACCCCACAGGAGATCTGTTTGTTCTGATGCCAGGTGGAACCATGTGCCATTTGTCCTTATAACGGTGACTGTTTTCTGTTACTTCCTTTCAGACTCAGCTAAGGTAAGATAAAGATTTTTCAACATGTAGGTTAGGGTGAAATCAGTAAAGAACACTTCCAAATATTAAGTCTGATGTTTGACAGTTTACTCCCAAAGCTAAGCAAGCTCAGTGGTGACAATTCTAAGATCATCTCCAAGCCCAAGTTAAGTTATGAAATAAATTGAGGCCAGCATGCTGCTGCTGGTAGAAGGATAACAGACAAGGTTGTCTTAAAATAATCAGTTTAATGAACCACTTCTAAAATAACTGGCCTGCATATTAATGATGTCCCTCTTTCTTATTAATCAGGCAGCACTAAAATACTGTGTTGAATAGTCTGTTACAAAGAAGAAAAGAATTCACTTGTTACTTCAGGAAGGGGTTTTTTTCTGTTTCTCTCTCAGCCTGCAACAGTCCTTGCCAGGCTCGAATGGGAATAGGAAGATACTGTTGTTGCCATGTTGAGGTTTGCCACTCTCAATTTGCCTGGACGCTTTTCAATTGTAATTATGGAGATGTGATGAATGCCAAGTGATAGAATGAGACCACTGCACTAGGGTAGGTTCCTGAGGCAGCCAGCTTTGATTGAGGGGAAGTCACGTTAAGTTGCAGCGGGACAGTTACATAAGGACAGAGTTGCCCCAGCACACAGAGCTGAGAGTGTTCTGAATCTTTTGGCATTGAGTTCAGCACCTCCTTCGTTCTCACCCTCTGCCCTTTATTTCAGATAATAGTCAAAATCACTCTTACGTTCCAGTGAGGGGGGAGTGGGTTTATAGTAGTTGGGGAGCAGTTTTAATCCTCGCTTGTTTCCTTCACCTCTTGCACTCTACTACATGGGTAACCTATGGAAGAAAACAGGTAAACCTAAGAATGAGAAAAGAGATGTCTGGAGATGCCAGAACATGTTAATAAGACAACCAGAACAGCAATTGCTAAGCCCACTAGGTGTGTCCACATACTATGATGGATCCTCTCTGCTTACTGTAGAGGGGCTGGAGATGCTTAAGACTCATAATTGATCTCCAGGCAGAGGAAACTGTAAAGTCAGAAACAATTTAATACAGTGAAGCATATAGTTTAGCTGAGCAAAGATTTAAAACAAAAAAGGTTGCTTCTGTAATAAGCATATTCACAGAACTGCTTTAGCACAGCATTGCTTCTATGAATGGGACTTAGGGGTGATTCTGAGCATGAGTGCAAGTAATGGGGGAAAAAAATTGCTATGAAGGTACTGCTGAAGAGCAGATGCTGCTGTTAAAAGTTCAACTAGCCACAGGCATGTAACCCATGTACACTTCTGAGACAGCCTCAGAGAAAAAGCTTTTGTTGAGAATGTATATACCACGAACAACTGTTCTAAACTTGCAGCAAACGTACATACTGATGGCCTGAGCCCACTGTAAGTATTTTTTTAAAGAGCTTCCATTGAAGGGCAAGTAATCAGCTGTCTTACTTGTTTGAAAGTAATTTTGGAAAGATTTCTGATATATTAGTAAAGTTGTTCAACTTCATATTGAAAATCAGTCTGCATGAACAGGAAATTATTTATTTAGCTTTAGGAATGCACAAAAGAGCCCCAACTGCACATTTAGCCACAAAATGCAAATCACTAAAGACAATGAGTCAAGTGCCATGAAAGAAATAATTATGCATGGCCTTTATTAGTGTAGATTAACTTTTTCAAATCTCCCACTGGAGAAGGAAAACAAAGGTCATGGTTTCTGTAAACTCGCACTGCATATGTAGCATCCCTCTTTCTGTTACAGTGTGATTGCCTTGCCAAGGATCGTTTGTCATCAGTTTGAAGGAAGCAGTTAAACCTGGCCGCAGCAATGCATGAGGAGACAAGTCTTCATCTGATAAACAGCAGCTTAACTCTACCAAATCCAACCAAAGTCAGACAATCTACAGTGCTAGCCTGAGGAAAGCCTTACCAAATTTATTTTGCTAAATCTCTAACTCTCAGCTTATGGTTGTAAAACAAATATAGCCAGAACCTCAGGTAGGCAAAGGTGAAAAGCCCTGATGATGTAACTGCATTTTCACATTCAGAAATCGCAGGGAGACGATGATGAAATCTCAGGTCAATTTGTGTACAAGGGTTCCACCACACCCTCTCTCACCCCCTCCACGCTGGCAAGCTTCTATGCAGTGCAAAGAGATTACAAAAGCTATTAAATAATCTTTGAAAGGGTAGTTTCAGAAAGCTTTATTGAATACTTGTAAATTTTTTACAGCATCAGTAAATTACATTCTGTATTAGCCTGCTTTACACTTTCAAACCAGTTTCACGCTGTGTTGTAGGAACTCTGCGCTACCATCTTACAGAACAAGCAGTTTAGTTTGTAAGCATATATAGTGTTGTTTGAATGTGACTGTGACCAGCCTGAAGACAGGGTTGCTTTGTCACACAACACCACAGGCAAAGAAAAGAGAGATCTGTTAAAACACTGTCCTGCTGGTAAACCATCTGGGCTAGTCCAAAGGCTCTTTCCTCCTGCTATCTTGACCAAAAAAAAAAAAAAAGAAAAAAAAAAAGAGATGCAGCCCCATGTTATCCCACTCTGTTCATTGCAAAATAGGCACTAACTTTAGGCTTGTAGCAATTTTGATGGTAGTTAATAAATTTGTTTGTTTAATTATAGGAGTGAGGCTAATTCACTTTATATAGACAGCTTTGTGCAGATGATGTCTTATTGCATAAATGAGAAAATAGTTCTATATGGGATTCTTAAGCCCAACATCATCATTTTTTAAATTACTTTCTTATATTAATTTCCTAGATACTTTGTGTGTCTACCTTGTGCAATTAACTTTCCTGATGCTTTATTTGTCAAATCCACGCTGGCAAATGCAAGATTTCTTCCTTGCTTCAAAATCTGAGCTGTAATCAGTATTTCTTCTCCAATCTTAGCAGCAGAAGTATATCTTCAATGAAGAACAAAATTAACAGGTAAGAGGCTGTACAGAGCACAAATCCAAGAATATTCCTGCATTTTAGATTATCATGAAGGGAATTAGCAAAAGTGAGTAATACAGACACCTCTCTCTAACTGCCTGCTTGCAAATCCCCACTTCATAGTCCTTGAGTTCCTCTAAGTACTGAAGTGGTAATTCAGTGTAAGAGGTCTCTGAGAAAATGGAAGACAGAAAGTAACCCATTGGCTTGGTTCTGAGGAAGAGTCCATTGTGGAAGAGAAACAATTAAGTGTCAAAGGCCTCAGTTAAAAGTTCAGCTCCAAGTCCCATTCCAGCCACTGCTGGCTCCCAACAGCCTTTCTAAACCAGTTTGGCTGGTTCAGCTGCAAAATGTCTGTTTGCAAAGGCTCCAGAAGGTCATTTCTGTATGGAACCTAATCATAGGTTAACTGCTTCCCACACCCTGGTCAGAGAAAAGTCATGGAAATCTGGGAGGCCTCCAGATTTCACAGGTTTAATGCTGTTCCCATTCATTAGATAACTCTCTGGTTTTATTTACAAGAGTAGAAGGGCGTGCTTTTAAAACACACTCTGCAGGGAATAGGAAGAAATTCCCTCACAAAACGCCTGGAAAGAATGAGGAGGAACATGATCCAGCCATAATCTGAGGTAAGGGAACAACATTCAAATGTTAAGAGTTACAGAGAATGTATAATTGCTGAATATAAATCTTACTGAGATAAATTTCATCAACTAGTCCATTTTTTTATATGACACCATGTCAAAAGTGTGCCAGTCACGCCTAATGCTGATGTAGCACAAACCCCATTGGTTGAGAGGGGGCAGGGTTTCAGTCTTACTTCATTGTCAGAGGCTGCTGCTGACCTTCTTGTGATTAAATAAATAAATAAATAAATAAAATTGTAGTATCAGTACTGTTTCCCTCCGTTATTTCCATTACTGAAATACCTTTGTCATGATAACCCTTTAAAAAGCTCCTTCCCAAAAAGGAAAAAGTTGTATTATAGCAATACTTGATATCCAGTATCACTTGTTCAATGGAGTAGTGAGTCTGGATTAAACAAAGCTCTTAATACTGCTTCACATTCCACTTCCACTTCCTAAAGGTTATGCTACTCAGTGATTTTGGGTCACCTCCAGAGACAGCACTTTCTTAAGATTTTAGCCCTTATGTAATTGGGTAGGCATACTTGATAGTGTAAATAATTCAGATGCTGGCCTCTTGGTATACTACTGTAAGGAAAAAAAACCCCAACATAATCACAGGAGAATTTCAGGTTTTCATTTCCAGTAATTTCCTGGTCACCACAGTGGGTGTGTAAAGCTTAAATAGATGCTCCAGCCCCATCTGCCCAGTGGAGAAATCGAAAAGTGCTGGGGGGAAAGGCAGGAACCTGGTAAACATACAGATCACTGCCCATAGACTTTTAAAGCTTTTTCTTTTTTAAGACAGTTTTGATGAGAGGTTACTTTTTCAAGATTTTTAATGCTCTATTTAAGTTATTCCAAGTAGGATTACCTTAGTTCCAGTCAGTCATAATCTCTTCGTTAACAATAATGAAGCAAAACTGACAACTATAATAGAGTGATCAAAGGTTTCAGAACAAGTTTTTTGTTTGGGTTTGCTGGTTTGGGGTTTTTTTTAATCACACTGTGCTTTAAATTTGCATTACAGAAGAACTAGTCTCAATACAAAACTAGCTGTAAATTACCTAGAGCAAAGGAATCTTCCTCCAGTGAGAAATTCTGATTCAATCTGTAATTCACCCTCTACATGAGCATACAACAAAGCTAAACTGTTTCTGGTTTTATTATTTTTCCTGTTTTAACATTTTATGGACTAATACTAAAAAAGGGTTTATAGAAAGCTGCTTACCCTAGATTTTGATATTTGAGGACACACTTTTAACATATCTTCACAAGCAAAGACAGAAGTTGAGCCAATTTCATAACACTAAAATTTTCCACATTATCAACATCCCTTTACATTCCGTGAATGAATGGGTACCATCTGTACCAACTCAAATTTTGCAACCAAATGGCAATATCCCCAAATACAAAACTGACCTTAATTTATCAAAACAAAGACTTCTGAAACCAAAGAAAACACCTTTTTAAAGTGGGTACTACAGCATAGAAATGACATACCATGGAGTCTATGCCATGTTAGGGGAAGGAAAGTTAGTATATTCTGGTACATTAGTTAGTATATTCTGTTAGTTATATTACTATATTATATATATAGTATAGTTATAATATAGTTATATTACTAATATACTATTAGTTAGTATATTCCGGTAAACATGGTGCATGATACCTACGTGATGTTCATGTCCACGCTGACCCCAGGCACTGCTCTTTCTGTGTACAGCAACGCTGCTGTTGACACCACATCCACAAGTGTGGCTGTCAAACCTCCATGTAATGTGCCACCTCTGTTTGTATGCTCCTCTTCTACTTTCATCTCACAAACAATTTTTCCCGGAGCTGCAGAAAGAAGTTTCATCTGTATAACCAAAAAAGGAATAAAAAGCTTACTGACAACAGTACCAACAACACCTGATACTGCCCTGAATCAAACTGAAAGTAATTCTTGTTTAATTCTGGACTCATGAGACAAATTAAAAGATGGAAAATACAGTCATTCAACTGTCACATAAGGTATTTCCATAAATTTTCAGCTGAAGATTGTTGCCTTAGAAAAATTTGCATTTCTAGTGCAGATAAATGTTTAAACTGACAGCTTAATAAAACTTCAATACTTGCTATAGAATTGCTTAGGAGACAACGTGATGCTTCAATTTTACGTTTGCTTTAACCTGTGACTGGAAAGCCAGATTGGAGGGAACACAAAACTGCTCTGACTGTGTGTACCATAGCTGCGAAGGCTATTTGTGAGCCCGCAAAATGGAAACATGACTGACAATAGTTCATTAATCACTATACTAGAGCAACCGCAGTAAAAAATCAGTATTTTGACTTGAGCACTGGAGATGCTACTGAGATTGGCCTCCTTGAACTGAAATTCATACTCCTGGGTAGAAGTATCCAAAGCTGTATCACACTGTATTACAGCACTGGGACTTGCATATGCACTTTTATTCCAGCTCATAGATGTTAAACAGAAAATTACAGTACATCTGCAGTACCGTGCTTCCCCCTGTAACAAGAAGTGGGATTTTTGAGACCAAGAGGTTATTGCATTTCAATATTTAAAAATCTTTTTTTTCAAGTTTCTTCAGTTAGCAACACTATATTGAAAATCTGAAAGCAGATCCAAAACTGGGATAAATTCAGCATATATATTTACACCTGCAACTAAGACTCTGAAGTATCTTTAGACTGTCACAAGTGAAATGTGGGCATAATATTTATTATAATTCCTACTAAGTTTCTAATTTTTTACAGTTTTGTTTTTAAAGTTACATGTTTCCATACCATATAGCTGAGTTGACTTAAATGTTTTTAATCTTAAATGGAATTACGATTGAAATGTCTCCAGTTTCACTATTCACAGAATAACAGAATGGTTGATGTTGGAAGGGACCTCTGAAGGTCATCTAGTCCAACCGCCCTGCTCAAGCAGAGACTCCTAGAGCACATAAACCAGGATTTTGTCCAGACGGTTTTTGATTCCACAACCTCTCTGGGCAACCTGTTCCAGTGCTCAGTCACTCTCACAGTAGAAAAGTTCTTCCTTACGTTCAGGTCGAACTTCCTATGCTGCAGTTTATGCCCATTGCTTCTTGTCCTATTGTTGGGTGCCAATGAAAAGAGTTTGGCCCTGTCCTCTAGACACTCTCCCTTTAGGTATTTATAAACATTAACCAGATCCCCTCTGAGTTGTCTTGGCAGTGAAGACTGAAGCAAAGTAACATTCAGTAACTCTGTCTTCTCCATGTCCTCTGTTACCAGGTACCCTGCCCCAGTCAGTAGTGGCCCCACATTTTCCCTGGCCTTCCTTTTGTTATTGATGTATTTGAAGAGGCCCTTCCTGCAGGGTTGCAGTCTTACTGCCCTGATTCCTCCTAGCAGGATCCTGAACTCCACAATCTCATGATCACTACAGCCAAGGCTGCCCCCAGCCTTCACATCCCCAACTACACCTTAATTATTCGATAGCACAAGGTCCAGCAGCACTCCTTTCCTTGTTGGCTCTTCAGTCATTTGCGAGAGAAAGTTACATCAATGCTTCCAAGGAACCTCTTTGATTGCATTTGACTTGCAGTGTTATTCCTCCACCACCCACGAGCACCTGGGCCTGTAACTGTGAGGCTACTTTCAGCTGACTTGTCCACATCCTCCTCGTGATCAGGTGGCCTGTAGCAAACACCCACTACTATGTCACCCATGTTAGTCTGACCTTTAATCCTTACCCATAAGCACTCAGCCCTCTCATCATTCACCCTGAGGAGCAGCTCCATACGTACCAGGTGTTCTCTTACGTACAGAGCAACTCCATCACCTCGCCTTCCCGGTCTGTCTCTCCTAAAAAGCTTAGAGCCATTTATGGCAACGTTCCAGTTGTGTGAACTGTCCCACCATGTTTCAGTAACTGCACTAAGATCGAAGCCCTGTGTCTGCACACAGATCTCCAACTCTCCCTGTTCATTCCCCACGCTGCGTGTGTTGGTGTACAGGCACTTCAGAGAGGAATCAGAGCGTGCCAGTTTTACAGGAGGGGTGAATGAGGATACCCCACAGACACGTTCTGTAGGTGCTTGCTTGGCTGCATTCACTTGCTGGGGTTGTACCCCCTTGAGTTTTGTTTTACTGTTTGAATAATCTCCATAGTTTCCATAATTCCCCCCTAGGGGGGAATTCCTTATTTATAATGCAGTGTAAGAGCTCAGTTTTGGCTAATGTCCCTTTCTGATAGGCCAAACTTATCCAAATTTTGCAGAGAAATGATACTATGATAAATGACGATGTAGTACACAGTCCATCTACAAATGGAAAAAGCTGGAATTAAGCACAGGGGAAATCACTGAGGCACTGTCCTAATATAAAAATAGCACCTTGATCCACTAAAGTGCCAAGTCCGAAACCAGGCATGGTGCGCTGTGTTGACTGGAGACCTATGTTTCTGACAGAATTTCTAATGAGGACTTTACTGACGCTTGACACTGGGAGCAGATGGCTTCCACTCCAGTGAGGGAGTGCTCCAACCCATTGGTGACGCGAGGAAAGCATCTGGTTTCATTTGTCATTGCTCTGACCTGGCACTAGCTGCCTGCTCTCCTTGACAAAAATAGTGCAGTATTTGAATGTTTCCCAGGACTGACATGGCCAGAGCTGCTGGTTTGTACTTCTCACAGCCCTTCTGTGATTGTCCTCCCACCTGTCTGTCCCAGGGAGCGTTATGCTGCTTCGGCTTCCAGCCACTCCTGCAATGCACTACTTCTAAAACCCAGAATTGTTAAGCCCTGTGTAGATACCACACTGGAATTAAACCAGAAACTAAGTCTGATGCTGCAGCTGAAAAGTTACAGACTAAACTCTGTCTTCTGCTCTGGCAGGGGGATTGGACTAGATGATCTTTCGAGGTCCCTTCCAATCCCTAACATTCTGTGATTCTGTGATTCTCCTAAACAGGAAAAACCTTAAGTCATATTTAGTTACAGTAAGAAAGGCTTCAGATGTCTCCCAAAACAGCAGCAGATACTTTAAATTAAAACAAAACTGTACTTTTATTGTTATGATTTTTATATTCATATCACCATAATTCTAGCAGAAGATGGCAGAAAAAGTCAAAGAGTATTCCACAGCAAGGTAAGGAGCCTGTCCCCCAAGGCTCACTTCCAGCCAGGTACTTTTATCTGCTGAAATACTGCATCCTCCACTTAATAGGTAAAAAAGTTCCCATGGTGAAGAGCTGACTAAAAAGCAATTGGGCTCTTCATAAATACACGAGCTTCTTAAACTTAAAGCTTTATACTTTTCATATACAAGAATGAAATGTCTTGGGGAAACAAAATATTAAGAGTTGCTTTGCAAATAGTTACTTTCTATTAAATCTATCAGATGATGGAGCTGTCATTGAAAGCACTGCTTCTGATCCTAGTTGGCTCCTCTACAATGCAAAATATATAAATTATGACATGGTTGGTTTTCTTAGATATATTTATTGCATCTCTGTCTTGGTTACACAAATAAATAGAAATCAAATGCAGAATTCTAGTGTTGCAAAATTTAATGAGAACACTGAAACTGGTTCACAGCAGCTCAAGAACACATCAGCTGCACTAGTACAGGATACAATAGATGACAGTAACATAATTTCTACTTTTTTTTAAATCATAACATGGCATTACATTAGAGCTGTACTGGGCAAACGCATTGCTTTGTACAATACGTAGTTAGAAACTTACAGAGCCCTGAAGCGCTTGTGTTTCCAGTCTGACTTCAAGGTGAAGTGTGAGATGTTATAAAAAGGGGTTTGTTTGTTTGTTTGTTTTTAAACAGAGAAGAGTAATAATTTATTTCAGAATTTCACAGTCCTGAAAGTCAGCTTAGTCACAGGTACTGTGAAAGGATGAACACTCGGTACTAAAAAACTGACGGAAAACTGACAACCCTTGACTTCAGAGAGGCAGTGGAAGGCAGCTCTAGCATGTGAATACAGAGAGTTATTTAATAACAATTCTGTTTTGTACCCAGTGTCTCCATCACGGCCACACACGGCTGCTGAGAGATCCTGAACCCGGGGAAAACAAGGGCAGGCCGGCACCACCGGGCTCCCGGCGGGCCCGCGGCCATGGCACCGCGCTCGGGGTTCCGCTCACCCACCGCAGGCCTCGGCCCTCTCCAGCTCCGCGGCCCGG